CATTCGGGCTGCGCGGGCGCGTACACGCAGCGCGGCGTCGTGCACATGCGTGCGTACGATGCAAGGCCAAGGTTGATCCGACGCGATCGAGTTGCATTCTCAATGAGAATAAATCAATTTTGATCAGCGCGCGCTCGGCGCCGCGTTCGGATCGTTCCGTTAAAAGCGAAACTGCATTAAGTATATAACCATATTTCATTGACGAACGAAACGAGAATAGGCATTCCCGCGAATTCGGAGTGCGATTGTGCGCGTGCGTACGCCAAAAAAAAAAGCTTTTGCATTGCGAGAAAAATGAAGAAGAAATTCAAAGAATAATAAACTTTAATCTGTTGAACTTAAAATGTTTTAAACCGAGCAAATAATATTTCTTGATAAGTAAATATTGACATCGTAATAAGTAAATATTGTAATACAATATTTGTATTACAGTAAATATTGTATTACAGCAACCAAATTATTAGCTTGCTTATAAATATTGTATTACAGCAACCAAATTATTAGCTTGCTTATTTAATGAACTTTATAATATCGTGTCATTTCTAAAAAAAAAACTGTGATGTCAATATAATACGCACATACTTGTTTTACATTTATAAAGTTTTTTTGCGTAAATATATTATAGCAGTTATTTGTTATAATATTCTATTAACTTTCATACAATAGCGAATCCTCCAATTAATTAACATGGAACCGTAAAATTAAATGCTAATTAATAAATGATAATTTTATCTTGTTTCTCTGCATTTCAAAATATTTATTTTTTACCGACGTGCGTTTTATCGAACTGATTATTCTAAATTAAGTCGACTCTCAGGAGAGCGAGGTATACGACGGCGAACGTCAAAAACTGGGTTGATAGCATTATTTTCGACGATACACGCCACGCCACGCTTCCACATGCACGCGCGCTCTCTTCGATACTCTCCCCGGCACCGACGACGAAACTAATTCATCACGTTCCATTATCATCCCGCACATAAATCCTCCCGGGGGAGTCAGTCTCCCTTCTTTGTGGAGGGGAAAAAGACGAAGAAGAGGAAACAGGGGGAGCCCCGTATGCATGCGTCTCCGCACATACGACGCACGCACGCAAGCACGCACGCACGCACGCACGCACACGCACGCACGCTCGCCTTGTGGAGGCCGGGGCCACTGACTCACTGACTCATTCGGCATAAACGCGAAGCACGAAGAGGCTCTTCTCTTGGGCCGAGCCGCCTCGCCGGGAAGAAAAGTGGAGCATCGACCTCGAATTTTAGTCTTTTTGTCTCTCCGCCCGACTGTTACCACTTCTCTTCCACCGCGGGCGCGATCGGCTCGGTTCTCGCGCATCGCGCGCGCGATTGTGCAATCGCGCAAATTGCCGCGGCGCGGAATCCCGAAAATTCCCCGTCTCTTATACACCAATGCCTTCGTATGGAATCTCGTACGGAAAATTACCGAGATTGCGAAATTTTGGGAGGACACCCGCTTGATTGAAGTTTAAAAGTCGACTGACAGTCGGTTGACTTTGGCCTTAGCATACACACTCATGCTAATTTAGATTTCAGTGTAATAAGCCCGGAGATTAACTTGAGAATTGTAAACGAGCGTTAATTTGAATGGAATGCTATTTAAACGTACCAGAAGTCGATTTTTATTAGACGATATCTCCTGACTGAGCTTTCGATCAATGTTTACTCGCAAGGTACCCTTAATTTCAACAACAAAAAAATACGTGTATTAATGTCACGATTTCTGCTTCAGCTCGCCATAACAACGAATAAGTATTTTAGAAACTTTGTAATATAACGCTACCCGAAAATTTATACGATCTAACAAAGTCATCTTCGATGAAGCGATACGAGCGAAAATACGAGATTTCAAACGGGACGACCCGGTACATCCGCGATGTGGAAATCGCTCGTGCGACCACCCAGCGCGACTATCACGAGCAAAAAGTTCGCGAGGCTTGCTACTCGCTTCGCCTCTTATTATAGGTGCGCGTTTCTCGGACCATCGGCCGGGATACGTCGAACGCAATTGAAAATAGCACCAACGTGGATTTAATGTAATCGTCCTTTCGTCACAGTGGACAGATATAAATTAAAGACGACGCGGACAGACAGAAATTAATCGTGTTATTGCAAGAAAACTTGGAGCTATTCAGCAATCTTGCGAAACGAGCGTATAGGAATAGTACAAGAATCGTTATCTGTACCTTCATCGTATTTTCGAAACGCGATGTGCTTCTGCCGAGACGGCAATGCGAAGACGCAAAGCAATAATTACGATTTATTATACGAAATGGAATTATTTTTCCATCAGTTTGCCGGGACGACGCTCCCTGTGTAAACGGAAAGATACCGGAATTTACGAAAAACGAGACAACGCGGTCGCGAGAGATCGTGCAGCAATCTTGAAACCTCTCTTTCTCTCTTTCTCTTTCTTTCTCTCTCTCGCTTTCTCGGGTCCGATCGATGAAGGAAAGCGAATCGATACTAACGCGCGATCGTTCCGGATCGAAACAGGCATCCTCGAAAGGCATCGCGATACCCGTCCGCTTCACGTGCCACGCACATTTTCGTCCCGCGGACGAAGGATCTCGGGGCCCGATCTCCCGGGCCCCGCGTGCGCGACAGGTCCCAAGAGATCCCACTAGTTATACAGAAGAAATGCCAGGGATGGCGCGTCATGGATCCCGCGGGCCCCGGCAGGAAGTCGATCCGGCACTTTCGAAAAACGCGTCGTCTCGGGACCACCCGCGTATGTGAAAATTTCACAGCTTGTAGTCGCATAGCCCCGAAGGGACTCGACGTGTCTGCGGATGTACGCGCCGTGAATGGGATTACATATATTAAGAAGACATTTCGGAAATAGAAATTCGTAAGGCATTGACGAATCGGTATAAGAGCGATACTTTCAAATAGAATTATATGTACGTTAAAGATAGAAAGATCCTAAATAAAGAGCTTACAATTCATAAATCATGAGACGAATCGGTAAGAGCGATATACTTACAAATAAAGAATTACTATATACGTTAAAGACAGAAAGATCCTAGATAAATGACTTAGCTTTTACAACTTCTTCTTCAACATCTCTCTTGACAGTTTCAAAAGGGAGACACTGGCTGCAGGTTAAAATTTCTTTCGTGCAAAGCTCACAAATGTGTAACACTTCCATTCGACCATTGCGCGTTCCCCGTGTCGAATCATTTCCATTCAGTCTTTTCGGTTGAACCGAAACCGTAAACCGACCACCCAGCATGAAACTTCCTCATGACATAATTAAACGGTTTAAGACACGCTGAAGAGACGGCCGTGAAGAGACGCGGGAGGGATTCCGGGTGCTCTCGAGAAGTATGATTTTATAGCGGCGGCAATCGACTGGTAGAGGCATCATCGGGTAATACCGCTCTCGAGGCTCCTCGAACCGGCGATAAGAGCCGGGTAGCCGCTAACCGCCGTTAAAACGCATTTTCGATCGTCGAAGTGCGCCTCGTTAATCGCCGATCGGAGATAGCGCGACGCCCGGTAGGAAATAACGGCGCCGTTATCGCCAACGGTCAATATAATTTGCATCGAGCTAACGCGGTTATCTTCTACATACATATCCGAAAAGACTCGCGCGATGCCGCCGCGTGTGTTGTCGCGGCTATTATCTACAATCTAACTACTTAGCGCACAACGAGAATCGATAGATCGCGTCCCGTATACCGGGCGTATCCCGGTAATGTCCATTTCCACCAATGTAGACTAACTTTGATCTCGGTTTAACTTAATTTCTGTCTTTTTCTAGCTCTAAGAATTAGAAGAAAAAGAATAAATTAAACCGAGATTAAAGTTAATCTACATTGGTATAGAAATGGGCCTAACAGAGAAATTATTTCGTCACCGTCTTAATTAGCCGTCTCTCGTATCTAGGAACGTAAATATACGTTCGTTAACGCAGTGTTTCACGCGTAAATAATGTCGGCGATAAGCGACAATTAACTTTCCAGCCGGAATTCGTATGATTTGTCTTCCTACTTTCCTACACACATTAATATATCTCCACGATTTCAAATTTTCTTATCAAATTGCTCGCCCATTCTCTCCTAATTGGATAAACTTAGTTCCGGTACATCACACGAACGCGCGCACGCTCTTGCATCTTTTCTTATCAATTTCGAACGGTATCGTTGAAGCAACCCATCTCCACATTGGTGATTTAAATGCACGTACAAGAGATGTTTGATTCAACATTATTTTATATATTTTTCCGTTGTTTCGATCAAGAATGTCAGATGATTATATATGTATAATTTGACGTATTATTGATCTTTGCATAACTATGTACATTGTTATCCAGATTGTATATCGTATGTTTCAAAAAACTTTGAAATTTTCAAAGAAACCCTTTATCGAATTATTACGTCACAACAAATCAGGTTTTAGAAGATTAGTTTTTCATGACTGCACAATCAAGTATCCGACTCTTTCTAAATTTCTTAAAAGAATTGTGAAAAAATCGTGATCATATTTCGAATATTCTAACGATTGAAAGAATTTAGTACAAATTAACGTAAAAAAGTTCAGGAAGACTCGAAAATAGATTTTATTTATTATTAGATCCATTGAAGCGTCCGACTCTTATCAAATTTATAACTTTAATTAAATCACGATTTTTATTACTTAAAAATCTCATTAATCGGGATTACTGATCGGGACATCTGATACTATATCAAAACGTTTAATGCCAATTTCTATCAATGTAGATTAACTTTAATCTTTAACTTACTTTTTATCTGTTCTAAGAATTAAAAAAAAATAAAGAGAAAATATAAAATCGAGAATTAATCTACATTGTTAGAGATAGACATAAGAGAGACGAATTTGTCATCACACTTTGTATATTCACTTTGTATATTCGTGACAAAGTTTTTATCTCAGAAACGAAATATGTCGCGGCCGTTGATCGACGGTTGAACGACGAAGAAGGTGAACGATTGGAGATAATAGGACGAGTTCTCTCACCTTCTCGAGCTGATCCAACGCTATCGCGGCGTCCGTCCAGCTGGGCCTAACGTAAAGATCCGACTCGTGCCGTATTCTGGCGCGTTCCGCCGCCTTGGGGTCCTTCTCGCTCTCCGCGTCACCATTCTGCCGCGGGCCCTGCGATCCAGAAGGGCGTCCCGCTAGGATATGGGTCCCCGTGGATATGGGTCCGGACACGGAAACCATGATCCGTCATGCATTCGTCCGCCACGCGATTACAACTTTCCGAACTCGGTCGCCCTTGACTCCCTTCCTTTCTTTCTCTTTCTGACTCTCACGATCTCTTAGCTTCTCATCGATCTCTCGTTACGGTTCTCTCCCGTGGCGGGCTCTCACCAGAAATCCTGACCACCCTCGAGGCAACAACTCGTTCTAATAACTCGGTCCTTTTTTTGAAGGATGTAGGAGAGGAACGATCGGACGATCTGGTTCTAGATCGAGTCGCGGTGCCCTTCCCGAAGGGCTCTCTCTCTCTCAATGCCGTGAACTCGTACGTACCGAATCGACGCGGAGGGACGCGTAATTTCTCTCGCACTCACTGCCCGGAGAAAAAAAATTTCGCAACACCTTTTCGGGAGCACTTCTTCACTGACACTGTCCGCGGTTACGCGTGAACGATGACACGTGACCCCCGCGCTTCGCTCGAAATTCGCGCACGAGGACAGCGAGCCGCGGCGCGCATGCGCGGGCGTCCTGCCGATGTATCGCGCTGCGCCGGACCGAGATCGGTTTTTAGGTTACCCGCGGTACGTAAATACGTTCCTCTCTGTCGGTCTACCTCTCTTACCTCTCGCTGCCTCTCTCGCTTTATATATCGGAGCTCGAGATTACGCCCGGCGAGGGCGCGAGAGGCGAAGGCGCGCGCGCGCGGTTAGTGGATTGTATCGTACGACGCGATCGTTCTTTTTATTTTGTTTTCCTCCCCACGTTGAATCGCACGACGCACACGTCAAGATCGACGTATTACTCTACACACGTGTCGCCGTGCCGCGCCGAGTAGATCCACGAATTTCCGGCTGGGCCCGCTCCGGGCCCCGGCTCGCCGCGCGTTGTCACCACTGTCACCACTGAGAGTCGTCGTCGCCGCCGCCACCGCCGTCGTCGGCGTCGTCGTCGTCGCCGTTGCCACCGCCGTCGTCGCGTTCGCAGGCTGCCACGGGCCCTCTGCGCGGGCCTCCGATGCGTCCTGGTGGTGCGTGCTCCTGCGTGAAAGTGCGACGGCGGACACCGGCGTTCACACGACCGCCACTTAGAGCAGTCTAAGTCGGTACTAAGCGAAACGCGCTGCCACATTTCTTTCGTGGCCTGCCTGCCGCGCCGGCCATGGTTGACGGCCTCCTCCCCTCTTCTGCGGCGCTCGCACTCGGGTTCGCAAACATTCAGGCTCGTGCGTTGCCGCGGGGCCCGCGTACCGCGCACTCGGGCCCCTGACGAAAACGATTCCGTCCACCTCGGCTATATGTATTTGTTGAAACATTCGACGCTGTTTGTCAGTAAGTATCTTTTGCCGTATCTTTTCATGACTTTTAAACATTTTTAACTGAAAATATAAATTACATATGTACATATATTTAATATAAAGAATATTCATTTTAACGTTTATTTCTTATGATACTTTTATGATTCAAATAGCGATGAAAGTTAATTGTTTTATTTATAATAATGATTTATTACGGGTATTATGCTCACATTGTTTCATCTTTACGAATAATTAATATAAAGATTGTTGATAGAATAATTTGTCTCTGAATTTATTGACGAGCTGCGAGCTTTTAAGATTACATGATACAGTTGAATTTTACTGTCTGTATTTATTTCGATATATGTAATTAATATTATTATATAAAACTAATATTATATAATTACGCACCACAGTTACGTTCGATTAATCGATCGGGAATCTGCGGTCGGCGGAATCCACTCTCGATCGATGCGCTACTGCGAGCAGAAGTGACGTCAAGCCGAGCGGTGCCGAGAAGGGCCGAAGAGACGGGGACTTGGAGACGATTGGCGGAGGCGCCTTGGCGTTTCACGTTGCTAGGATACTCCGGACTCCGGAGACTAGCGAGGGGAGCCGACTCTAGACCACACACGCGTTCCCATTTTCCCTGGAGCAAAAACATTACCCACACCGAGACGCGCGACACACACGACGATGCACACAGCTGCGCCGCGACGCGCAGTGGTGCCTAGGTAGGTGAAACCCCTCTCTCTCTCTCTCTCTCTCTCTCTCTCTCTCTCTCTCTCTCTCTCTCTCTTTCTGAATTTTTTCCAAAGTTTCATCTATAAAATATCTAAACACATACTCTCGCGTAATTTCAATTCATCGGCCAGCAGGATGAATAGCATCCTCAAGATGACTATCGATGCGGCAGTTTTCTTCCTCATTAGAAAATCTTTTCGATACTCTTTGAAAGCGTTCTCTTAAATTATCCCAGCACGCGAAATCTTGGCGTCTCCGAAACGGGAGACCGATCTAAAATTTGCGGGCTCGAAAATCGTTAAATTTTTCTCGTTTTACGCAGTCTCTAATTTTAACGCGACGAGATGTCAGAGCCTCTTATTTATCCAGACGAGTGCGAGCGAGAAACGATTTTGCAGATAGTTAAAATAACATTTTTGACAGTTTGGCGTCCGTCCCCGGTCATAACGTATGCGTATGTGACGAGATTTTTTAAGCGACTTGAACTAGAAATACTCGGAAGTGATTAGCAGAGTCGAGATGTCTTTCGCAACATCTTTTCGCACCGTATGGCCTGCACGCACGGCAAAGACCGTAAATTATTAGAGCAAGTGAACGAAAATTTGTATTCTGCTCATTCATAACTTTTTGTTTGTGTATACAAGCGAGTCGAAAAGATCTACTCGAATGATGATCACGTTCGTCTTTTTTTTCGGGTGCCTCTCAAACAAAGTATATTATAGGTACGCACCATGATTTCTTCCAAGAAAAAAGTATTCTTGCCGGTCACAAAGTAATAGAGTCTCCCACTGAGATTTAGGAGGCAGGAAACGACCAACTGTCGACCAATAGACAGTTTTTTGCCAATATATCTTACTCAAACTAATTTTCTGTAACAAACCGTCCGGTCCGTAAAATCCCTTTTAGGTAGAGATGTAAATAGAAAAAAAAACCAAATTGCTTTTTTTCATAAAATACGTTTTTTTTTAGAAAAAAAACATAAGCCTCGTTTTTTTCTCAAAATTTTATTTTTTTTTCAGCTATCCATTTAATATCTATATTTTGTTTAATATAAGTTAATTTTTCATGATTTTTTATTTTATAGATACTAGATTTAAATTATCATCATTTTAACCTTTACACAAAAGAAGAAAACCAATATATTGATTCTGAAACATATTTTGAAGCAAGGACTTCAATGAATAATTAATAATAAATTCTACTTAAGGAAAAGCTGTTTAGAAAAAGAATTAAAAAGTTTCTCCTTTTGTAAAAGTTAAATGTAGATCACATTAATATTAATTATATAATCATATAATTACTATTTACAATTAATTAACCGTGCTATCGGAATTAGAAAACAAATCAAATTTGTATTTTTTCAATCAAATAAAACACGTTTTTTTTTAATGTTTTTTTCTATTAAAAAAAATGTTTTTTTTACATCTCTATTTTTAGGGCACCACTGTTACCGGTCTCTTCCCGCGCATCCCCGTCGTCATCTGCGCTTGCTCCGTTTATGCGCGTGCCATGCATTTGTTTGTTTACCCGCATGCTCATCTGAGGGGAGAGAATCACCGAGGAGTCAATACCGCGACGCCGCTGAGGAATCAAATTAATATTCATATTCCATCAGCCGCTGAATGTGGTCGTCCGATTCTTCAGATTCGAATAATGTTGTATCTTCGTGTGAGACGAACGAAACCGCAAGCTCGAAGACCACTTTTAGCGATGAATATCACAAATGTAAGTATTACTGATTTTCGCCGTCTTAGAAACGCTACCGATCAGCAGCGTTTAATCGAAAAAATTTACATCAATATTAAATTGTTTATCAAATTATTATTAAATCAAAACGTTTCTAACAATTTTCGTAATTACAACCTATATCTAAAGTAAATTGCAAATATGTTAATACTCCCGTGTTTAATAAAAAATAATTATCTCTAATTATTTAATTTCCAATATCATTTGCTTAAGCAAAATTTGAATCAATAAATTATATACGATTTAATAAATCAACTGCAACATATAAATAATTCGCGAAGGACGAGAGAAGAAATTTATTTATTTTTAATGATACATGCATAAAGGAAGTCTAATTCTAAATTTGTGTTTATCTGAATCTTTTTATTTATGTATTTATTTTTCATTATGGAGCTACACTTTAGATTATTCGAGACCAATTAATTGAGTTAGACCATTTTCTCAGCGTTATATCAGAGATACATATTTGTATAAAATATTTTCTCCGCGGTCGAGCAGACGAACGATACTAATGTGCATATACATACAAGTGCGTGGGAGTAAAAGCCCGGCTGTTTCCACTGCGCCCGCTCATTAAGCCGCGCGCCGCGATTAACGCATTAAACTGTCGTCATAATATCTGCATAACGATATGACTTCATTAGGCGCCGCGCAACCGTTCTCCTGCGGTCGTCTGTGCATATGAATCAGGCCTATCGAAGAAAAACTCGGCGTATTGTATTACAAAATAATGTTTTAAAATGTAATGAATAGTATTACAAAACTACGAGCTTTCGAAAGAATCATATAATCTCTTATACAAATCTCTTATACATATACTCTATGTAATATTATTTGTATAACAGCTTATTGCTACGTGTAAAAGCTTTTTGATTTACATCAGTTAGAAAATGAGATATTAAATAGGCACACAGAATAACGAACTATTCCACAATTCCGAAAAATTTTATGATACACAACTTATTTCAACGAAAACAAAAAATTCTTAAAATAATTCGCGTTTATCGTCTTACGTCGGCATTGATGTCTCTCCGTATCGAGAGATTTCATTCACGCGCGACTGTTGCGGGGTTCTCAATAAAAGAAAAAAAAATAGAGTAGCACAGAATGCTCCGCATGCTGGCAAGAAGGAAAGGCGAAAGGGAGCGCGAAGGGTGTGGGAAGGGAGAAACGAAGGGGAGAGAGATCTTTGCGTATTGTCTCCTTTGACGGATGCACCCCGCGGTCGCGCCGCGTCGATCGGCGATAAGGGAACCGCGCGCGCGCTGAGGAACCGTTAATAATTTTTATGACACTCTTAACTCGCCACCCGGTATTAAGCGGTCCTCCGTAGGAGACGGGCTTTGATCTTCGCCGACGCCCGGTGTATCGGCTTAATGAGTGCGGGAGCGAGATAGTGCGCGGTTGAGTCAGGGCGCCCGGGCGTTCGCGCGCCTCCCGACCGCCTGTAGAACCGCCTCTGGTTGCCGTCGGTTACGCGGATGCACGTCGCGTCGCATAACCCCAGGCGCGTCTCCGCGCCGTCGTCGTCGTGAAAGCGTAAAAATCGCGGAGACGACCTCGCAATTCTCGCGCGTTCCACACAGCCCGTCGAGAGAAGGAAGGGGAATGAATATAAATTCAAGGCTATAGTTTTTGCAGAGCAATAATACGAGATTAAAAGGGCCGCGACGGGCGCAAAGGTGTGTAACTGAAAGATAATTACAATTTTTGTTTCAAAATACAATCAATAATGACATTTAACTTTCGACACGTGCGGAGTCAAAACACGCTCTTGGGGAAAAAACAATTAGCATAATAAATTAAATAAGGAAATACAGAGAGAAACGTAAAACATGCAATATAAATAAAGAAATAAAAGAAGAGACATACAGAGAATATAAGCATTCAGTAAATTTATTTAAGCTTGATCAATGATAAGAATAATCAAAAGAAAGAAGAAGAAAAAGATGCAACTGTCCGTTCACGGCAACAGACGAACAATACTGGATTCGATCGTTCGAATTGGCTCTGTTAAACTCATTCGACAATTTTATTCAAGGCGGTCGGAATGTATTCGAAGTTAACGCACTTGATAATGAGATTGATACGTCGGAGATTGATAATTTAATTATTTATATATCCTTCATTATTTTATATTGTATCTGATTGTTTTAACTTAATTTGATTTGACGATCATTTTGAAACACATATTTGTACAATCACTGCATAAATGTAGCGCGCAATCTGTGCACGTAAAAAAAACGAAAGGGTTTAAATATCGGTTTTATCAATGCCAATTAATCCGATCCCTCTTTAATGCCTCGTGCTCTAATTTAATTTCAGTAAATATCAAGGTTAACCTCAAGTATCACCTTTCATATTACCAGTATTATTCGCGTTACAGCCAATATATTCAAAAAATTTTGCTAACAGTAAAAATAAATTATTAATCTAGAATAATTATTTATATTAATTAAACAATTTAAACATTGATATATTAAAGAAAAATGCATATACAAAAATGCTATTTGATTTTCCCTTATTCAACTTGACGTGCTGAGGATTTAATAGACCAATCTCTGAAAAAAAAACGAATGTACAAAATAAGTACTCCTTTCTCTAAACTCTCTATTAAGTCTATCCAGTTTAATGTTTAGAATTATCCGAAAACTACCTCTCTATTTGGTGAAAATAGAAAAGAAAGAAGAAATGGGATAGAACGAAAGAGAGAGAGAAAGAGGAGAAAGAGGAGGTAGAATGAGCAGGACAGAGAGAGAGAGAGAGAGGGAGAAAGGGAAAGAGTTGGAGAGGAAGATATCCGACTTACTAATTGCAACGACGTCGGTGGTCCGGAGGCACACCGCGGGCCATAATGAAAAGCAATATGGTCAGGATACATGGTACGGATCCGCTCGGACTCATCTCAGTGACTATCCCGAATTAAAATCGTAAATCCGACCCGAAGGATTTGTAGCGGCGCCGCGTTCGACTTTAAAACATGGCGCGCGTCACGGCCAAATATTTTCAGAAAGTAATTTTTTTTTTTAAAGCAAGGCACACAGGAAAAAAGGGATTAGTATATATCTTTATTTTTTCTAGACTATCCTCGTGTACTTATTGTCGTAAGAAATTCATGCGACTACGGAGGAAGACCGAATATGGAAGAAGACCGTTTATTTTTCGCTGAAACGCCAATTGCTGTGAGTACAAATTCCAATTTTGAAATATAAATTTTAATTCAATTCTTATATAAATTGTTCCTGTTAAATTGCGCGATCAAGTGATGTACACCCTACATACTTACTCGTTACAATAATAGACGTAATTTTGAACGAAACGCAATAAATTACGCGATAATCCATGAAATGCAACGGGCGACAATATAAATTAATATCTCTGTTGGCAATCGTCCCTTCTCATAGACGTTAAAGAAAGACGTTAGAAAGCAGATCGATTAAGAACCCACCGAAGACGACCGTGCGACGTCCACCGCGAATGGAGACGTTTCCACGGGAAATAGATTGAGACTTCACGGGCACCCTGTAGTATAGGCGTAGTTACGGTTCATTTCGATTCCGGGGGCTGTTAAACGGGCCGTAAAGGGCCCCGCAGTAAGCCGCAAACGGTCTAAATGGTGGTCCACGAATTTACCGGGACGGATTGTCGATGAGGGAGCTGCCATTGTACCGTCCGAGCACTCCTGAAATCCGGAAAGTCAGTAAATTTCCCGGACGTCGCGCCGGGGAATTATACCTGGGGCCGTGACGGGGAGGTGGGACGTATACGCTCGGGCACTACGTACGCTCTGTTTGCGTAGGACGGGGACCACCCAGGTCGGGCCGACGCCTCTGTGTGTCCGGCCTGGTGGATCCGACTTGGCGGAATCCTTCGCTTCGTCGAGCGAAGCGGAGGCGACCGTACGTAAGGCAGGGGCGGACCGACCACGAAATTCCGTGTTTGAGGCACGCATTCGGATTATGACGTCAGAAAGTCGAAAAGTCGCCGGACAAACAATCGCGCGATTTTCCTCTGCGTCACGCGTGTCGGTACATTGTGAGACAAATTAGTTACTGTATATCTTCAATGCATTCCAACTCGTATTCAATACTGCAGATTGCTACGATATAAAGAAAAAGAAGTTTTTTTTATCATACAAATTGTAGTATATCAATATTAATATATAATTTTATTTTATTACTTAAAAATAAAATTTGAAATTTTTTTTGTCGGTGGAGTTTTTTATTATACGTAAAAAAATTGCAATATAGAATTATGGCCTCTTATTTAAAAATAGAATTGTGTCTCATCAACAAGAGTCTTTATTTATATATTTATATATTTAAAATTAAATGATTTTCTGTTATAAAGAATATAATGAGTTTTTCAAATATGCTTCTCTATTTTTCTCTTTCTCTATTTCTCTTTGCTCAACAATATACAAGTGTATATATAGAAAATAAATTAATAATTGTTTGATCCGCCTATTAGAAATAATAAATTAGCAAAATTTATTTGTATATATATCTATATATATTTATTTATTTATTTAATATAGATAAAATATTAGGAAATTTAGAAAGAAACTGTAGGTGGTATAGGAATTTAGTTTTATATTACGTGCCATAAGATCGCTCAAAAATTTATATTTATATTTTTTATGATGGATTCAACATACATTTTTTATTTATGATTGCTGCATTATCGAGCGTCTTTTGTGCTTAGTAAGGTGATCAGTAAGGTTTTTCTAAGTATTACAATCCTTAAGCCAGCCGTCCGTCCCTGACGCAAGGCAATGAAACTTTTAACCTGATCCAGTGCGCTATTTTTCATCCCATTGTGTCCAACTACAAGGATCGCGACTCCCCGCGATGATTCTTGAACGTTCGGTGATGGATGCACGGACATCTCCATCGTACAACGAGGAAAGCTTTGGGAAATTAGCGTGTCAAACGTGCGAGGCTGTCTATTCAGTTTGATGCCACCCATCGTGCGCACAATATATCTCTGTCCGGTCCTATTTTGTATAATAGTTTGTAACGTAAGCGCAGATATGCGAAAACTGGAATGCGAAACGTTCATCGAACAGTCCTTTTATTAACACAAAATATAACGCGCGAAAATATTGAAGAAGGCAAACGTTATTTTTTATTTCAATTTCTGTCCTGTGTATATATTTTTTTTATTTCTCAAAATACGATAATTGCACGTGTAATATTACTTTATTATTAGATTAGAGATCTGTGATTCAATTTGACGGATATATATTATTTCTCCTATTGTATCAACATATTAAATTTTAATTTTAATGTTTTAACTCGGGAGTTTACATCCCCCAATGAATTATTATCTAATAGTGTTTTCATAAAATTTGATATGGACAGTGTGCCTACTAATTAAAGTTTCGAGTATCATTTCTCATCAAGAGGACTGGATTATATTATGAATGAAAGCATTATAACAAAGAGCAAACAAGGGCCCCTATTCTCATGAGATATTTAAAAAGAGATTTAATAATGAAAACACACACAATTTCTTAATTTCTTCAAATTTAAGAAACTAAAACAGGACAAGAATATTATAATATTTATTTAAAATAGGTTAATTACTGTCTCTATAGTCATTTTAATTTAATCATCATATAATGTAAATATTTCGTATTATCATGATTATCCCGTCGTTACTCGCCAGATATGTGTGTGTGTGTGTGTGTGTATTTTCTTCCGAAAATAATCTCGTCTCCCGCGCGCGTGACATTTCCCAACGCGAGAAACCTCTTCGATATCGCCACCCGCAAATATTTTCCTCGCGTTAATCACCGCGACGTCTTAACGTCGCGTGTGGGTACCTATATTTGGATATTTTCCAGATAGGATCTACAAAAATGTTCTATATATAGGCAGACCGTTGGCGCGCGTTGGCGCTAAATAACGCGATACGCGCGGCGGTTAAAGCCGGGGGCCCCTCGTGTACGTGCCGTGTATATCACGGCGTGTTGTACGCGTAACTTACGGTTACGCGGTCCTATGCTTAATATCAAAACAGTGTTAGTGACTGGCCACCCACGGCGAAACCGAGGGACCACCTAATGAGACGCGCTATTATAAGGGGGCCCCCGTCTCCACTTCGCACTTTACTTCAACCGCCGTTCTCCTTTAACCTTTTAACACAGCCAGCCCTACTCACTTCTAACGGAGTTTGCTGGAGGACACTAGGACGCCGTTGTCTTTCTTCCCTCTACTCGTCGCTTCTAACAGAGAAATGGAATCATTAGTGAAATACCGATAAACCGCGCGCGATCTATTCACACGATTAATCCGCTCTCGCTGCATCAATCTGTCTTTTTCTCTCTCTAATTCACGTTCTCTATAATCTTAAAATTATACGGATAATATGCTCACGCGGAACTATCTTCGTCGAGAGATTGCTTTTGTGAAATGTAACCGAAGAGTTTTTAAATTAAATTCCATCATAAAACGTCCTTCATAATGCTATAATAAAATAAACACATAGTCCATTTCTAGAAGAGTTATAATTAACTCTGAAATTTTGAAAGAATGTACCACTTCGAAATAAATATTGTAATTCACTATAAATCAGACAGACGGATTAAAATAAAAATAATCTCTGCGCGATAATATTTTTTAAGTGTGTATCAAAATTACAGAATTAATAACGCGTGCAAAACGCACGGGGTGCGGTGGGCACCGCGATTCGCGTATAATCAATTCTCTGAAATAACGGAAAAAAATGTCGGAGGTTTTTTGCGCTCGTAAAATTCCCCTCGGGGCGGGATCGAGAACTCGGCGTAGACTCGCGGCTTCCTGTCTCCTCGCGAGAGCAGGGGAGATATGTCGAGATTGAAGATTTGCAAAATACGGTCGAGCGGCACGACGAGCTCGGCCAGCGCTCGCGCGCGCAAATCAACGTTTACACGCGCGTCATTAGAAATCAATAAGCGCGCTCACGAACGGACGGCGAGATCGTGCCGTGCCGCGTGTGCGTACGCGCGCACGCAACCTCGCGAGCGTGCGCGTACATACATACATACATACACGCGGGACGAGTCCCTATCTAAGCCTCATATTCCGTGATCGTGGACCACCCAGCTAGTCCACCGCGGAAGTACGCACGCACGATTTGCACGCGCGCGCACGTATATGCGCGTGCGGCACACCAGCGGGATATACGGAGTGTCTCGCGATAAACGGAAGCCGCCGAAGGCCCTTTGGAGCTTCCTGCAGAAATTGGAAATTTGTTCTCGCCGATAATTTTTTTCTAATAAACAGAAACATCGATTTTTTTTTATTCTAAAAGGGAAGAAATTCAAGATTTTCCTTGTTTTTTTTGCAACGCGGTTTGCAATTGCTGCATACGCATACTTCTTCTCTGTCGCTTTCTCTTCTGATTTACGAGTATTATTTGATCACGCTATTCTTTATTATTAGACGGTCCGCTAGATCCGGGACACCCTGTGCAGCGTGCCTAACGCGTCGTTTCCCGAAAAGATTACGCCGGACTGGAACTTTTACCTCTTAATTCGCCGATCTTCGTTCTTTACGACCGTCATTAAAAATGTCGTTCTTTTAGCCTCACTTTTCAGCCCCTGATTACGAGCCTTCCGCTCCCGACCTTTCGCTCGGCTACGGCGCCCATTATTACGTACGTTTATCGATAATACCGGGTCCAATTACGACGACGATTTTCACATTTGGAGAGTCGTCGTCGCGTTAAAGAGAGGAGACGCTCGTTATTTTCCGTGAGACGATGATCGATCCCGCGGCATGTAATCGTTTTCCCCGGACTTTTTTTGTCCCGTTCCCCGTTGCGCGGTCTCGCGAAGGAAAAATAGACGAGCCGATATTTTCTTCTCTCTTTCTTCCCCTTTCTTTTTTTTCCTTCGTCGTGTCCGCCGTATATCGCGAGGGGAACGTAAGAGAGCCCCCTTGACGCGGATCGCCTCCGGGGGGTGGCGGCGGTGGCGGCGGCGGCGGCGGCGGCGGCGGCGGCGGCAGTCCCGCTTAATGTCGTCCCCGGGGTGGTTACGCGCGTTTGCGTGCACAGCAGCGTCATTATACGCGAAATAACATGTTGCACTCGTTCGTTGCATACGCGCTGAACATTGTGAGCGAGGTAAATTAATAATTGGAACGTTTTCGACGGACTCTGTGTCGGCACGCCCACGGACGGTACAATCCGCCTG